CACCGCCACCGCCCCAACCCCTATGGCCACTGCAACTGCTGCTCCTGATATGAGAACCTCCCTCTTCGGTGGCGACGGAAGCATTCCGGGCATCGTGCCATCTACTGAGGCGTTCGACGACGGAATCGGAACGCATACTACTCATGGCACTCGGCTTTTTGCGTCGGCCACTGAGCCCGCCACCCGACCTACGTACGTCAAGTCGGAGTCGGCGGCCGGATCGAACCCGTTCCTCAGCGCCGCGAAAGCTAGTGACTTTGAGGGTGGGGATGAATTGGAGGATGGCGAGTTTTAGCTCTCCCTCGCTTCTCACTTGAATCGACGAGACCTGGTATGCCTGTCCCCTCGGACGGGCCGACGGACCGACGTTATTTCAACTGGTCTTCTTTTGATGGAAATTTTTTTTTTCCTTTTGCGGTTATGAATTTCACCAGTACATTTGCGAAATTGCTCAGATGAGAATAAAGATCTCAATGGCTGTTAATGACATGGCGAGCCGAAGATCACCTTTCCCATTTCGCGAGATGTTGCGAGTTTTCCCATCTGGCGTCTTCTTCACTGTCTTCTTCACAGCCCTAATTACCTCGTCGTCGTGTATGGTTGACCATTTCCCCCTCTTCACCCCCTTCAGCCTCGATGGCACAGACAAAACCAAACCCCTATTCATTCAACAACTTCGGACCGTCCTACGCCTTTTTTAGGACGTCGGTCGATATGGCCTTCTAGCATTTTCGAATGCGTTATGAGATCGGACTGGATAGGACGAGACGAGACGGGACTACCTCTCGTCCCTTTCCTATCTGTCTGTTCTCCTCAATTTTGATCTGAGCGGGAAGCCAAAACCGGTTCGACAATTTGGGGAGAAAAGGGATGAAAAAAGACGAAAAAAGCATCTGATCATTAACTCAACGGGGATAACGAGAAACTAAAAGATAATAAAAAAATCCAGGGTGGAAGAAAATTGTATGAATGGATGAAGGAATGAGTGAAGGCGAGGACGGAGAGATCGAGAGAGGACGTGAAGGAAACGCAAAAAAGGGGCAACTGGGACGTTGAGAACGAAAAAAAAGTATTTGAAATTCCCTCCTCTCGCGCTTTTGCGAATGGGGAGTCTGGCTTTATTTACACACAGACGAACTTCGCCAGTCATCGGACGAACGAAAAACCTACTGTCTGATGTATCGAGATACTTGATTTTGCGCTTTCGCGCCCGGCCTGCGGCACGCACTTAGATAGTGCCTACTTGCCTACCTGACTGCCTGTAGCACTCTGACGGCGTCCGTCTAGGTGTTATAAGGCGTGGTATGGCATAGTATGGCGTGCCTAGTGGTGTCTGCCTAGGTAATTGATTCTGCGCTGTTCATTCCATTCCTAATTCTTTTCCGTTTTCGTGCCGTGGTGTTTGTGATAATATGTCCTCTATCTATTGCCTCTCCGGACAGACACCTCGATTGACTCTCGCCGAGGGGAGACTTGCTCGGGGCGAATACATATGCAACACTGATTCTCATTGGTAATCTCCCCGCCGACATCGCCAAATTTCAGATGGAGAGAAAAGAGAGAACTCAGTATGCCTCAGTGCATATATTCAAGCCTAGTCGTCTGCGTGGAAGCAAAGTTATCTGGGCACGTTAAAGGTAGGTTAGGTACTAGGTGCCTCACATGCATGTAGGTTAAGCCCCAGGAGCGCTTAAGTCGTCTATTAGGACAGAGGACATCTAGGTATCGATAGCCAGTCTTGATCCCCTACGGCTGGGGGAAGACTCGGCACGCGCACATACGTGTACACACATATGCATCTACCATTTACCCCCTACCGGACCACCATAGTCATATACATGGAAATACATCTTCCAGGCACGAGGATGAGCATGGATTGAGAGATTTTGCGCTGGCGGACTATGTTCCTCCCAAGGGAAACGGGCTTGAAATTGTCCACAGACCCGAAGCACGTCGAATAGGGACTGGGTCAGTGTGGAAATAAATACGTCGTTCCAGTGTGTATCTCCGTATCAAGTCATGGCTCGGCAAGAGGCGCAATGTGGCTACTCCGGTTGTGTATCACATGAGCTGACAGCACCTGATGAAATACGCCACTCTGGTAGGAAACATGCCTAGCGATTTGAAGATTCCGCCTGTATTCTCATTGCCTATTCTGCGCATAGGGAAGGGATAAATAAGTAGGTATCATATTGCGCATAAGGCTTCTTCAGCAAGACAAGCTTCTCTTATGCCCCTCTTCTGCAATCAAACCACGCTTCACTACATCAGGTATGTGGAAGTATGACCGTAAGAAGATCGTGAACCGTGTTACTGGACAACACCACGGCAAGAACACTATATGCATTACGACTAGGAAATCCTTGAGAGGCCCATTCAGAGCGGCCTCTACTAAATGCACAGAGATTTATCAGAGTGCATGCGAGAGCGAGCACACTGAGTAGTATATCATCTCACCATCTAGTTGGCATGTTCTCACATCGCAAAGCCATCCATCACACCGTTGCTCTCCCGTGTATATGCTAATGACCAGTGTAGGGGTTTTAATCCTTGTAACCATGGGAATATTTGGTTCACTGTTTGTTTGAGCAGCCTACAACCGATGTACTGGAAACTGGGTCTGGTGAAGCAACCGGAACCGAGGCATCACGTTACATCGTAGAAGGACTTGACTTTCTATCGTTTACGACTAATATCCTGACCAATAATCGTTCGCGATAGCTTGCCTTTCGATTTAACTGAATCGAAGAGGATCACAGGCACCATTGCAACGCTGGAAAAAGTTGTCCACTCTGAATTGAACCTAGTCTTCTGTGTGGTCGGGTACATCAAATCAATACTAGAGGATGTGACCGCTAGAATACCTAAGAACAGGAGCAAGATACAATTTCATATGATGCTACCTCAAAACGGGCTGTTTGACAGTGGCAGCGATGCGCCGCCATCTACCACTAATGTATGTCCGTTCACGTAACTCGAGGCCGAAGACGCAAGAAACGCAACTGCATCTGCAACTTCGCCAGGCCCAACCAGCCGTTTCATGGGCAGGTCCCCAAGCATGATTTTCTTGAACTCCGGAGAGGCCGCAAGGAATTCGTCCATCATAGGACCCAGGACATAGGTTGGGGCGACAGCATTAACTCGGATGCCCCTCGACGCATTCTCTATGGCAGCCGTCTGCACCATCCCCTTCACCGCATGTTTCGCTGCAACATAATTGCCTACTCCTCGGAATGTGCCCTCCGATGCGAGGGACGTGAGCATGACAATTGTGCCCCTGATTGGGGGTCGGTCACCAAATGCCGAGATGGGCTCGACAGCAGCCTGCTTATACATGACACGGAGAGCAGCGCGGGTCAACAAGAAACATCCGATATTGTGCACTTCGTCGAGACTGCGCCAGTCGGCAAGGGACATGTCGCGGATAGGGGTCTGATTAGCCACCCCAATCTGAAAAGTACACCAGCCGGGAATGGTAAGCTACTCAGGTATCGCAAATGGGAGCGAAGCGAATGACTTACACCGGCGGTGTTGACAAGTACATCGATGCGACCATACGTCCTAGCTACCTCGTCTACCAACTTGTCGACGCTTGTTTCGTCGCGCACATCTACCTGGCGTGCGGCTGTTTCAAGGCTGCCCAAATCACGAGGACGCTTTACATTTTTGCACATCTCGGCCGTCTCCTGGGCAGCCTCTATTTTGAGGTCGGCGCAGAGCACAACTTTGGCACCATAATAAGCCAGCCGCTGGGCCGCCGCTCTGCCAATTCCACTGCCTGCCAGGGGTCAGCGCCAGTCTCATGAACATTACAGTTATCTACGATTGAGCAGGAGGCAGGCATCAACATACCAGCGCCGGCCACAAGCACAATTCCTTCTACCTGCATCACGATATTTGTAGATGAATAGTAACTTTCTCAATATTGACACGGAATAACTTAAGAATAGAAACACGAGGGCTTAGTGACGTAGTGCCCAGGTACTATGTACGGCTTTAGTGGCAAACCAACGACGTTCTGATGTAGCACTTATAGGTGCATTATTGTGAAGAAGGCAGCTCTTGGATGTGTAAATGTAACAAGGGCTTGGAGTCCTTTTGCCGTGTAACAGTATGTAGGTATCTACTACGTCAAAACATCGGACTGCACCCATGATTCTTATTAAATCGGGGTCAGTCAGCAAAACTTTCCCCTCCTTTTCTAACCCCCAACAGTAACGAAGCTATAATATTACGGGCTACCTCTCAACCGTGAGCACCGGACCATCAACTCCACCGCTACCATGGTTCCTACTGGTTCCATGGCGTCTGTCGACTCGACATCTTATTTCCGCCGGGCCCGGGCACATCCGCGTTTCCAGCATCCGAGTCTGGCGGCTGAGGGCGCCCCCGACACTAAGAATTTCACATATACCGTCCCGGCCGATGGAAGCGCGCTCGACGCTTGGGTTTCCCTGACTTTCGGCGTCGCTACCGACCCCAATTGTTTTGCTGATACCATCGTAACATTCCAGCCCACACCTTACGTCAAGCTCGTATACACCCCACGATCTGGCGAGCTCTTCGGCCATCCTTCGCGCGGGCGCTCGGACGGTATTGGCGTAATCCTCCTGCTTCAACGCCTTGCTCTCTTTTTTGCCTCGGAGCCGCCGCCGCTTGCCGATCCTGTCCCCCTTTCCTGGGGTTCCGAGATCGAGTGACTTTCTGTGAACGTGTCGCGGCCGGCTGAATCTCAGTGCGGTGTAAAACGAGTCGTTCCAGACGGACCGCTTTATCAGTGAGGTAAAGAACCATCTGCTGGACGGCCTAAACATCTGAAGTTGCTGAAACAAAACAAAACTAAATACCCTAGGATGTAAAAACAATTATGTCAGAGATTTCTCAATTTATAGACTATAATAAATAAGTGAATAAAAGTGCTTGGCTACTTCACTATCGATGTTAAAAATAAAAGGGGCACAACTAACACCTACCTCACCAGCAAAAAGGAGTTACTGCATTGCATCAGCCGGGAATCGAACCCGGAGTCTAGACGTGGGAGGTCTAAGTGTTACCACTACACCACTAATGCGTAACATAGCTAACAACTCTGTAGTTAAAGAATAAATCAGAGACCCCTTCTCGTGGAGGCAAAGAACTTCGTTTTTAAAGAGTTACCTAGGCCGCCTAGACTTCTTCTAGCCCTTACAACATTAACGTTCACCATTAATTGTTATAATCTTTAGCACCTTTCTATTATTCTAGGAGTGCTTCGCTGAGTAAAGTTGTTGTGTTGGTAAAGAACAAATATTAGGTAGTTTGCGATGTGTGGCTTAGGTAACCATTATTGTCTCACGCTGACATTGCCTAAATCGGAAGTGGATTAGGTGCCGTAAGGAATACGGCGTATTCAGGTCGGAATAGCGCACTTGGTGACTGTTGATTGCTTGACATAATAACACGATGAATCATTTATATAGAATCAAAGTCATATAAAATAGCATTTCAATCTTCTCATCTCTTCAGGTAATACGTCCATCTATCATCTTTTGTCTATTTAAACGTTACTCTAGTTTTGTCGCAATGACTGCTCGTCCCTTAGTACTCTCTGCCTCAAGAGCCGCTCTTAGCGGGGCACGACTTACACATATACACCCCAACTCGCGCATTTCCTCGCCCTCTATCGATATCTCAGAGAATATCAATGCATGGACGACGAGACAGCCTAGCGTTGTTTTAAGAAAGAGCCTCGCGATAAGTGGTATTCGCTTCCTCTCGTCATCGTCTACTTCTACACCAGCGAAGAAAGATGGCACCACCAGCGCTAGTAAGAACCTGAACGGGTCACGGTCGTCGCAATCAGGACGCGATCACCAAAGCTCTTCACCGTCAGAGGATCATTTTACAATCAACTTTCGGGACCTCGGCATGAGCCGTATCACCAAGTTCGTGGTGTATACTGTCATCACTGTTCTCGGCACCATGGAGACTATCTTCTGGTGCAAGGTGCTCGTAAGTAGAGATCAATGCGGCTTATTGGGAACCCGCTCTAGTATGCATTAACTTGGAGAGAGAGGCCGCTAACTTTGGACAACTTCAGTGGCGCTGGTGGACTGGCGAGCAGGAGGAGAGCGAATGAGCAAAATAAATATGTGATAGTTCATTCATGGAGCCATCTCGAATTTACTGCCATGTTGTGTGTGTCAGGTGCGAAACATATCTTCTCGTCTGCTCAAAGTATTGGGCTCTGTGGGAAGATGTGGCAGTGGATGAGTGATCTAGCAGTTTGAAGACTCTTGTCGGCAATCAGTGATCAGACATCAACCCCACTCCCTCCCCTTGACAACTTTTCATTTGTAATTTTTCATGTAAATACTAAGTACGTAATAGCAGCGGCGACCTATATGGGGATCAATAGAGATATGAATGAAAACGTGAACATGAATGAAGGGGCCGATCATGACCATCTGCCATTATTTTGCGTATGAACTTGATCAACTACTTCTCGTTTCTGGTTGTCCTTGAAAGACCATGGTCACACGACCCTCTGATCCCGCCCGCGGTTATAAGACGTAGGTATATGACTAAATGAGCGCTGGGAAACATGTCCTACACCTTCGTCAATTATTAGGTATCCCAGTCTGGATGCTTCTAAAGTTCTCTCAGTGGGTACGCTCCAAGAAAACACTCATTTGCAGAGCAGCATGCCATCACGACCGTGTATGATGCGCTCATGTATGGTGATCTGCTCACGTAACGGATCTCGGTTCGATAATTCGGCTCTGCGGCCTGTCTGCTGAAGAGAAAATCAGCAGACACGGATGTTCTAGACTACCTGCTAGACCACGCGTCTGCACCGCCACTTCCTTGCTCCGCGCAGACAAAGACAGGCGACAGGGCCCTGGACGATACCCTGGATGCTAATCTCCGTCCAGCTGGTGGATACGGGAATCGGAATACCACGGTGATTGGTCGCGAGAGCTGCCTCTGCCCTGTTTTTCTTAGCGGCAGCAAGCCCTCGCGTGATACACTAAACCATGCCGGGCATCGCTTGGCAACCGTTTACGATCTAGAGAGCTGTACTTTGTAGCCACAGCGAGTCAAGCCACCGGGATCCCCTTCATCCCTTAAAACAAGATATAATTAAATCAGATGGGTGTGTTTTCTTCGCATCGCGACAACATGCGGCGGGCCGATGCCAGGTATACGTAACTTTTGCTTGTTTCTCTATCATCTCTTCTATGTCTCATCTGAAAGACTTGTGACATTTCATTCTTGACGCTCGTTCTCTTGTCTATCTACCCATCCACTCGGTCATTCGCTCATCTGATATTGTTTACACAAAGGCATAGCTAGTTCCAGGCTGCCATATCTTAATGGCTACTGATATAGAAGAACACGTTGTCGCAGCAGACAACGGTGCCACGGCGGAAGAAGTCAAGCCCTATAGGATACATGTGAGTTCCCCATGAGATACAGTATTCTATTTACTATGAGGCATAGTTATAGTTACCGTAAACATGCGGATAATCTATGGATAGTTAATACTTTGCCTCGTCCTCTCAGGTCTCGTCTCGATATCTCAACCTCACTAAACAAAAACTTGAGATCGCCCGATTACCTCACGAGCTTGATGAACCCAAGTCCAAAGATTGGTGGCAGCCGAAGTCCCAGGTTGAGCCTCTTATTGACTTCTGGTGAGTGAGGCGCATCTCACAAATCCCACCTGCCTCTTATAAAATACAACCAGTGATTAGCTCTCACACACCATCGAGTTCCGATGAAGGTCAAAACTTTTCTATAAGAATATCAATAAACTAACGTTCGCAGGCTCGAGCAATACCAATGGCGGGACCAGGAAGAACTCCTGAACAGGCTTCCACAGTTCCGCACGGGCTTTATCATCCCTCAGTCTGAATCGCCTATTAGAATCCAATTCATCCACGCCCGCTCACCACGCGCAGACGCGATACCCTTGTTATTAATACCCCCATTTCCCTTCCCAAGCCTCTCCCTCGGACACGTGGTCAAGCTCTTCACGGACCCGGAAGAGGCGGACCACCAACCTTTCCATCTCGTCATCCCCTCGCTGCCAGGTCTAGGCTTCAGCGACGCTCTGCCGACCAACTCGGCCGTCATATCCTGTACGGCCGATCTCCTCGACTCCCTGATGAAACGTCTAGGCTACCCATTCTACCTAGCGACGAACGCGGGCGCAGGCATCTCCTCCCCAGGCCAGATCGACTACAAGCTCGCCGATTGGCTCTCGACACACCATGCGGACTCCTGTCTCGGAACTCACCTCATCTCCCCACCACTAACGCAACCGCGACCGCAGGACGCACTCCTGGGCTGGGCGAAATGGTCCATCGCCAAGTTCTTCAGGGCGTCGGTCTGGGGTTATCGCTCCGAGGATCTCTCAGCCCTGAAGCGAAGCTCCAAGGCGGCGACGGCGACCGCCGGGAGAGCCAGCCCGCCGGGACCAGGCCTCACGGAGCCCAACACCCTGTCCTACGCGCTCTGCGACTCCCCCACGGGCCTCCTCGTCATCGTGATGAAGGGTCTGCGCCTCCTCGCGCCGAAGAGGGAGTTCACACCGACGGAGATCGTCAACTTCACGCAGCTCGCGTGGCTTCCCGGCCCCGAGTCCGCCATGCGCTTCTGGGCCTACTGCCAGCGCCACCCGGAGAAGGCGGCGAGCGCGAGGACGAGACCCGCCGGGAAGCCGCGCGTGGCGCTGACGGTATTCCTCGGGGGCGAGCGCGCCCCGTCCCGTGGTAATAATAATAACGGAAGCGGGAACGCCCCGGAGCCAGATCCAGACGTGTTAGAGGGGGCGAGGGCGGCCCCGTATTCCTGTCCCGCCTGGGCGTGGACGCGATACGAGGTGCTCTATACCAGCCGCGCGAGCGGAGATGCGGGCTTGCTCGCCTGGGAACGACCGGAGCTCATAGCCTCCGGCGTCCGCGGGCTCGCGGCTGCCTTGCTGAAGGCCGACAAGCGCCTGAAACTGTCGGGACAGTCGGAGCCGCAACCCCCGGGGCAAATTGTAACTAGTGCGGAGACGACTGCTGCGCTTGAGCCGGAGGAGGAGGAACGGCCTTTATCCCCGGCCCTGTCTGATCCCCGGCCCGGGTTGCTGGCGCCCCCGAAGATCGGGGAGCGGCTGCTGCCCATCCGGGAAGTTAGCGACGACACGAAGGTCGCGAGCGATGACAGCCTTGCGATCGCTAAAACCCCATCGCCTATACCTACAGCGCCAAGCCCCGTGGTGTCAGACCCGCCACCTAGCGCATCAATCGAGGAGAAGTAGAGAGATAGCGAAAGGGGACGCCGGGTATACGAGAGCAAGCATGGATGACACGACAGCCTCGACTCAGAGACGGGGTAGCCGTACGGGATCACTCACAGGGTCGAACCGGGTTGCGACGGGCATCACGGCGCTCACGACTTCCGCGCGTCGACGGGGGACGTAATGTAGCCTCCCCGTCCTGACAACGGGAGAGATACGATACAGATTACGGAGAGAATTAAGGAGAGTGCCGCCCGCGATACTCGACGGCGCAAATAGACTGGGCCAGTTTCTTTGCGTTATGATACCAAGCTTTGAAAAAGAACTCTGATGGAACTCGATTGCAAGCGTATAGAACCAGCCGGTCAAGCAACCAACTAGCCCACCTACTCATTTAATTAACTAGTTAATCATATAATACAATATGGCTGCTTCTCCTTCGAAATTGCGCAGTGTAAAGCTGCCAAACACAGACGGCCTTGCATATCTCTCTCTATCTCGTCTCGTGAGGAACTACATCGTAGTAATTTCTTATTTTATTTTAGCCATTGGCTAGGACTGCGCTTAAACTTATTCATGCCAGTCCACTCCATTCTTTTCTTTCTCCTTTACTTTGATCGGCTTGCGTTATAGCCGTACCCTCTCAATCCGCGCCTCTTGGTTAGTCTAGAACACGGGTAGCAAGGATACCGTACTGTTTATAGCAAATTTACTCAAATGCCACTTTCCACGATTGAAACTGGTTGACAGGTGATCAAGCTTCTCAAGTTTCCTTACTAAATGTTGTGTCGTTTATTTTA